TGGAACCCAGACTCCTTTTATTAATCAAGGCATTATATTCAAATTCCTGCCTAAGGGTACGTACTGGAGCAAATGGTGCCCTAACAGGGACCATTAACACTCACAAAGGGGTCAGACAAGGATGTGTACTGGCCCCTATTCTGTTTAATTTATATATAAGTGACATCCCAAAGTTTTTATATTCAACAGACACATATATGCCCAAAATTAAAAATAAACACGTAAATATACTACTTTATGCAGATGATATGGTACTGATGTCACACACCCAAGTAGGAATGAGAAGGCTGCTACATAAGATTAGTACATATTGTACACATAACTACCTGTCTATCCACAAATCTAAGACCAAGGTAGTTATCTTTGGGAAAAGAAGGATCAGGTACAATTGGACCATGGACAGAGAACATATAGAACAGGTTGTCCCATCTATACCTAGGGCTTGTTTTTACTGAAACAGGTTCATGGCTCCACCATTTCAAGAGAAGTTCCCTAAAAGCTACAGCCTGCACCAATGCCTTAAGGCACTTAATCAACCATAGTTACCCAGGATCATTAACCCCAATTATAAAGGTTTATAACAGTAAAATCGTCCCAATGCTTACCTACGGTGCAGAACTGTGGGGATGCTTAAATGTCCCTTTGCTTGAACAAATACAGTCTTCATTTCTGAAATGTATTCTGGGGGTGGATAAGTCAACTCCAACCCAAGCTGTAAGAACAGAGCTAGGCATACCCCCCATACAAAGCCATTCGGTAAAAAAAGTATTTAATTACTGGCTGAGGATCCTATTTATGGACTCAGAAAGATTACCTAAGCTTTGTTTTGAAGAACAGATGCACAACAAGTATGGACTCAGAAAGATTACCTAAGCTTTGTTTTGAAGAACAGATGCACAACAAGTATGGACTCAGAAAGATTACCTAAGCTTTGTTTTGAAGAACAGATGCACAACAAGTATGGACTCAGAAAGATTACCTAAGCTTTGTTTTGAAGAACAGATGCACAACAAGCCTTCTTGTGCTTGGGCAGCCCAACTCATCAATACCATCTCCCAATATGGATTTTCAATCCACTTCCCAGTTCAGGCCAAGAAAAGCTTTAAACAAAGGGTTTTGGACATGGCTGCACAAGAGGATATAGCATTTCTTAAACATCTCAAGTCCTTGAAGTAGCTGGCCCAACACAAATCAGTCTCAACTAGAAAAGTACTTAACAACTCCTTTACCCCAATATCTTAGAAGAGCTTTTACTAGAGCTCATTTCAATCAGTTAGACTCTATGGTAAGATATGGGAGATTTCAAGGAGTTCCATAAAAAGAAAGGCTATGTATTTGTGGCGCCCTAGCTGTTGAAGATACTACACATACCTTATTTGATTGCAAATTATACTTGGTAGAAAGGACTGACCACTGAGACCTATATTTAAAAAATAAAAAATACTGGAGCAGCCAGCAGAAATTTTTCTACTTTCTTTACAGGGCAAGAACCTGTGTATTACTAGTAAGACTGCACTCATATCAAAGGGAATTATAAAGAGGACAGATTATTTAGGCCAGGTTGGCGTTGACTGTAGGGATGATGGTTTGATATGAACTTGTACCATAGTTTTAATTATATTTTTACTAATTCTTATCAGTATGTTTACAATGACTTTTTACTTTATTTCCTTTACACTTGATATGGTCAATAGACTAAATCAATAAAGTTGATTGATTGATTGATTGATTGGCTGTGTCACTTGAGAGACCTGACATATTCGAAGAAGTTATCAGTCCTGAGATTTGCTTGAGGTTAGACTGAGTCCCCGATTCTCATTATTTTTTGCCCTAGTATGAATGCTTTTCCATTTTTCCAGGCATTTGTAAGGGTGTATACTTCCCTTTTCCCTTAATTGGCCCAATGTTTTGTACAATGCAGTAAGCCATTGGAAGACACTAGGATAAATATGGCTCTGTAACCAACCTGATGACGTATCTGCCCTCTCTGTTTGGCAAAAGAACATTCTGTTCCTGGATAGAGCTCAGAATTTTGTTTCAGAAGAGCTCTTCAGGCTATCTATCTGGGAAACTGCACAATTCCTGTTTTGCTTTCCTTCTGTCCCTCCATGTGTTGCAGATGGAGTGGCAATCTTAGGGCATTATCTTTTTCAAGGACAGATATGTGAGTCTCTAGAGGTTGCTGGACTACAACCTCCATCATACCTTACTATTGACTATTATGGTTTGAGTTAATGAAAATTATAATTCAACAGCATCTGGAGGTAGCTGTGTATCTAAAGTCTCATGTGTTGTTTGTAGTGATTCAGAACTGAATATCTGATATGTATCCTCCATATCTCTGGCTCTTTCTGAGTGTAGAAGGCAGAGGTAATGGCCTTGAGGGACAGAAGGAAGAGCAGCTACCAAGGCAATGGTCAGATAAAAGAGGCCTGAGTCTGGACCAAGAAGGTAGTGTGAGTAAACAAATCCCTCCCTAGTTCTCATGAAGATAAAGGGAGGGAGGGAGGGAGGGAGGGAGGGA